CGTCGTCGTCGTTCGTTCGTCGTCGTAGGACGTACGTACTACTACGTAACGTACGTTACTTACTTCTACTACTACTAACACGACGTAGTATGTATCTCTCTCTCCTCCTCCTCTCTCCCTCCCCTCCTCTCTCTCTCTCTCTCTCCTCCCGTCCCTCTCTCTCTCTCTCTCTCTCTCTCTCTCTTTCTCTCTCTCTCTCCTTCTCAGCTAATATTTGGTTAGACCCTTCTCTTTCAGATCTGATTTTTGGTCTGTTTTCCCAAAAGTTGAGTTGGCTGTATCAGATAATCTAATTGAAGTATTTTTGTTCAATATCAGGTTGCTTTGTGCCTATGAAGGGAATTATCTAAATTCGAGTAGTGACTCCACAGCAGAAGAGAATTTCTGTGAGGAGAGCAGTGAGTCCGATGAGGAAGAGAACACCATCCAATCCCTCAGCATCACTTGTTCTTTCCCTGATATTATTGGGGGAGGTTTCATTGAGGTATTACTGTGCTTTCTAATATGAGATGCACTAGAGGTATGAATTCCTGGTGTAAATTTCCATCTAATATATTGAGCCAATCACTTCAAAGTTTAAATGGATCTAGCTAGTACACATGAATCTAGTGTAGAGAAGACTTTGCATCCTAGTTTGGTGAAAGAAAAAATCCAAGAACAGTGCATGAATCATATTGTGCATGCTTGACAATTCCCTATTTCCTTCCTCTCTCTCTCTCTCTCTTCTTTTTAATTTTTTTTAATTGTATTTCTTGCTTTATTTTTTATTTTTTTGTCATGGCTCCTTTTCTCTCTGTTTTTTTTTTCCAATATAGAATTTGATCATCATGCTGTGCATGTAACATTTATAAGTAATTTATATTTCTTGGTTTTTTAAATCATATAGATGTACGTGTTATGTACTAGTTTCTTTTACGCCATTCCATCCTCACAAACTGTGAAACATAAACTTCATTTGTGGGTTACTCAGGTTGAAGACCATGACCTGCACAGTGGCTTCTTTCCCTTCGTAGTTGCAGAGCAAGATGTATGTTCTGAAATTCGTACACTGGAGAGCACAATTGAGTTATCCGAATTTGATGACCCAAAAATGAGAGCTAACCAAGTCCAAACTAAGAATCAAGTCATGGAATTTCTAAATGAGATGGGATGGCTTCTTCGAAGAAATCAGTTGATGTCTTTATCCAATGGTTCAGATATCTATGATTTCCCTCTTGCACGTTTCAAGTGGCTTTTGGAATTCTCCATGGAGCGTGACTGGTGTGCTGTGGTAAAAAAGCTTTTGGACGTTGTTTTTGAGGGAAAGTTCGAGTTGGGGGAACGCTCTTCTGTTGAGTTAATGTTATGTGAAGTGGGTCCACTCCATAGAGCAGTAAGAAGAAACTGTAGGTCCATGGTGGATTTCCTCTTGAGATATGTCCCTACAAAAATTTCGGAAGAAACAGTAGCCATGCGTAGGGAATTGGAAGGGAAACCTTTTCTTTTTAGACCTGATATGATTGGGCTGGCTGGTGTGACACCTCTTCATATAGCAGCTAGTATGGAAGGTGCAGAGGGCGTCTTAGATGCTTTAACTGATGATCCCGGGCAGGTAAGCTACTCCTCAGTTGTGCATTCGCAATGGCGAATTTTGTTTTGTTTAGGGAAGTGACCATTGTTGAAGTGCCTTTTACTTGTCCAATGAAAATTTCAACATAATGCCTAAAATACTCTGAAAATGACTCAATTATCATGCTTCTGGGGACATGTAGTCAAGAGCCATCAAAAAGCTAGCCTCCAGCTGGTCCACCCTCTGCTCTAACACCCCTTGGGCTGCTATTTCCACTGCAACTTCGAATCCATGGTTTTACGGAGAAACCCTAATTCGTGAGCTTAGAGAGAGAGAGAGAGTAGCGAGGATCCAATCCCCACTGTTCATCTTCCATAAATGTATGATGAGGATTAGGTATTCTAATTTTTTTAAAATTATATATATTATATATAAATTAAATAATTTTTTTAAAAATTATATGTTATATATTAATTAAAAATGTATTACATATATGTATATATGAATAAAATAATATATGCTATTTTAAAAACTGGGTCGGATCCACTTGTACCGCGGTACTATTTGGATCTAAAATTTGGATGTGGATTTGACCGTTCGGATCCAAATCTTGGATCCATACTCGGATCCGAAATTCGGGTTTCGGATCCGGCTAGGTAAATTCTCAGCCCTAGTCATAGATCAATTTTTTCTAAATCCATGTTTTATTTTTTTTCCATCTTAGTTGGAATTTTTTTTTCAGTTGTTTTTATTATTTTTATTTTATTTTTAATAATTTCTTTTATTTATCTATATTAGGGCTTTGTTGGCCTGTACACTAGTTGGGTTAGTCACCTTTGTGAAACTTTGGTCAGGAGTAAAGCTTTGGGATATTTGAGGAATATTCAGTGAGGCTGCATGTAAGCAATCTTTCATGTGTTTATTTATGTGTTGGTGCTCATCTGAACCTTCGATGAGATCTCCTCATGGTCTTTGAAATTCATTATCTCTGAAAACAGTACAATTGCAAACCTGTCATTTGTCCATGTTGTGAAATGCTATTATCTATAGTCAACTGAAATGCGTGAAGTCAACTACTTGGCCCTTGTGGTATGGCTATTGTGGGTTTTTGGTTTGATTTCCCAATAGTGGTTGAAATGTAACTTTCATCACTCTTCAAATTGGCATCTGTGCAACTTGTAAGTTTCTGCAAAATAAAGGCAAAATCTTTACTACATGTGTATATATGTATATAACTATGTATTGTGTATATTTGTGTATGTATTTCTATAGACTTGTATGGAGGTCCATGTAATCTATTGATCTTTTACTCTAACCACTTGAAAATAACAAAATATTTAAAGTTCTCTAGACATTGGATTGGAGTTTTCCTAATGTGCATAGTCCTGATTCAGGTCGGAATTCAGGCATGGAAGAATGCCAAAGATAAAACAGGTTTCTCCCCCGAAGACTACGCTCGACTCAGAGGCTACACCGGCTACATTGATCAGGTACAACGAAAGGTAATATCTCAGAAACAAGCAGTTGGGCATGTGGTCCTTGACATGTCTGGCCTCTTATCAACCCCAAATAGAGCCCAAACCAAACAAATAGATTACATACGTATTAAATTAGATACAAAGTCATGCCAAAACTCAGATAAGTTAACCTCTTTCAACATTGACAAAGGCACTACAGCTGGGCATTTACATTACTGCAAGCTCTGTGACAAACAATTGGCTTACAAAAATGCAAAGAGATCGCTGCTTTATAGGCCTGCTATGCTTTCAATGGTGGCCATTGCAGCTGTTTGTGTTTGTGTAGGGTTACTTCTCAAAGGACCACCTGAGGTTATCTTCGTGTTTCCCTTTAGATGGGAATTGTTGGGGTATGGCCCTATTTGAGATTGGGGGGTTTGTGTTTTGGCCTGTGTGAATTAGATTAGAGTTTGAAGGGACGTAAAACTGATGTGTTATGGTTGTTGTATTAGTCGATAGTCATACTCTGTATATTGATCTTGTTCCATTAAATAATAGGCATTGTATTCTGTGCTGCTCTTTATGGGCAGATTTCATTTGTGATTTCTTGTGCATTTCCTCCGATATTTGGATTGGGAGATATGGAAAAAATGTCTGCTTATGTAATGGAGGGGTGATTTCTTGGGCTTTTCCGCTGATTGCAATTTTTAGTGCTCTGCTGAAAGGCTGGGGGATCAACTCCCCCCTCCTCTCTCTCTCTCTCACACACATACACGTACATGGTGGACCAAAAGAAACAAACTCTTACGATTTGCACAATTTAAAAATTGATAGATTTGGTCGATGGAATGTAATTTAAAAATTGATAGATTTGGTCGATGGAATGTAATTTGCAGAACGGTCTTGCTCATTGGTTGAAGTCAAGCTGATTACCTTTAAATTAATAGAAGAAAATATATAATGAGATAATTTATCTTTGATACAAGGTGGTTACTATTAATCTTGACCATTGGATGTGATATTGGGTGGCTGTATTTATTCTATTGACCAAGCTCAAGTTTGAAAGAAGTTTTTTTGAATTTTGTGACACATCCAAACTATCAGGTTTAACATTGTACTTAATTGGGACCTTTTTGTATTAGAGGTAAATAGCCTCAAACTATCAGGTTTAACATTGTACTTAATTGGGACCTTTTTGTATTAGAGGTAAATAGCCTCAATGTGATGGTTGGTTGCTGGTTTAGTTAGAAAAATCCAGGAAAAAGCAACACGGATGGACTTTTTTTTGTTGAGTCTTGGTAGAATGCTGTGAATATTTGTACGCAAGACAAACGTTTAATACATATCATTTAATTTTTTTTTACAAGTTCATCTAAAATGAAAAAAAATCAAGGTATTTTCTTGAGGTTAATTACTTATCAATGGCAACTCCCTCGCGCAAGTAAGTGAACGATACTCTCTACTTACAAGATTGAGCCCTCTATTAAAAAATTTAGCAGAAGGTGATGAAGGTTTAGCAAACCATCACCGTTTTAAATCTTCGCGACCTAGATCGGGAAACTATCGGTCAACCGATTCAGGAAATTATCGATCATCGGATCAGTGGTTGGGCCATAGGAAATCCACCTCCCACTGAATTTCCTAATTTTATTTTATTTTTATTATTTTTGACTTGACTTCCCACCGGTTCATCTTATGGTGATTCGGATCGGTATAAAACCCGATATTTGGTTTTCAAAACATTATTAATGGTTAATGTAAAGATACAAACCTGTGACCAATAGTTCAATCTGCTCCGATCTTTCTCTCCTTCGAAAGGAAAAAGAGGTTGGGGTTATGAGCCTCTCCCTCTCTCTCTTTAGGAAATGAGAGAGAGAGGGAGATGCCTGTATATGAAACGTAGTATATTCATCACAAGCTTGTAAAATACTTCAAAACAATAACTATTTACAAACGGGATTGTATGTTATAAGACCACCTATCATGAGGATAATGTAAATAATCCTAGCCATCAAATGTTAATATGAATTGATTAGGGTATATCGCAAGATTCTAGAAAATTTGTTTGAACTTTTAAGTCTAGGTAATAGAGTACTCTTCACCCTTTGGATTTCAGATCTAACAGAGAAAAAAACGATTGTGATCTTCCTATACAAAGATAATTGGTCTTATGTTAAGCACTTCCAACTGGCTTAAGAGAGGGGCGAGAGAGAGACAGAGGTGTAAGAGTGAAATGTGGCTTTTGCATTTTAATACTTCAAAATTCTAACTAGATACGATAGAAAGAGAGAGAGTAGGGAAATTCATCAAAATAATATCAGAGATTCACTATATAAAATTTAGAAAAAATTACATAAATCCCCTCGAAATCAACTATTCATTCAACTTACCCCACCTAAACTTTCCTCAATACTGTTTTTTAAAAACCATGTTTCCTAACAAATACCCCCCTCCCCCCACTTAAAAAAAAAGAAGAAATCTAAGACAATACCCCCCATGAACCAATTTCTACTCTCACGTTTTCTCTTTACTGGCTCTCTCTCTCTTCACGATTGACCCCCTTGTTTTTACTCTCGCTCTCTCTCTTCACTAGCGCTCTCTCTCTTCACGATTTACCCGCTGTCACTAGTCCGATGTTCGTACACTGCTGTCCGGTGATTAGGAAGGGCAATCCAGTGTTTTCATGGGGCACTCAGGTGTTTCCTCTCACTAGAATTGCCACAGTTTGATGTTTTGAGGGGCAGTCCGACGGTTAGGATGCCAGTCCGGCGATTAAGAAGGGCAATTCGGCATTTTCATGGGGCACTCCGACGTTTCATCTCACTGGAACTGCCTCAGTCTGGCATTCTGAGGGGCAGTCCGACGGTTGGGGAGGCTAGTCCGACATTTGTTTATTGCGGTCTGGGGATTTTTTCTGTTGGAGGGGTGTTCCGGTATTAAACAAATTCGATTCGGTAATTTCGTTTTATTGAACCTGAAAATGACTTCTAAAAATATGGGAAGGGTTTCTTTGTCAAAAAAAAATTCACTTTTTGTATTGGCGGTATTTGCTAGGAAACATAGTTTTTGAGAAATAATTGTTAGAAGAGCTTAGGTGGGGAGTAAGCTGAAATAAACGACTATATGCAATTTTCCTTTATTTAATTTCCAAATACCTGTCAACTACACATGACCCCATGAAAACAAATAAACAATTAAATTATTGAAAGGACCTGGTTTCTATGCGGCCAAGCCTGCATATGTAGAAATGCAGGCTTCTTAATAAATTTATTTTTGAAATGGATTTTAAGAAAAATTAAAGACATGTAATATGATCATGAATATGAAAAAATAAATAAAATTTAGAAACTAAAAATAATAATTCTAAAAAAAAAACATTTGAATAATTAGTTTTCATTGTTTTTAGATGAAACACCTACTTGTATTCATCCTTAAGATGGATGCTGGACACTTTATGGGCAGCATATATAGAAATGCAGTCTAGACTACATGAAACAATTTTTTTATATTAAAAAGTTAATAATATTTTTACAAAACTTGTCTAAATAGATGAGAAAGTAAAGTACTTTAGATGACGCAATGTTTTAAAAATTGTTTAGTTAGGTCAGAATTACTGGTCCGACCTAAAAATGGATGGGGCCTATCTGGTTCCCACCATAAATTGCGAACCAGCCAATTCCCCCAAATAAATGATCAATTCTCTAGTTGGTTTTTGGGAATTGGCTGATCTACTCCACCTTTATTTTTTTTTTGCCCAATTCTCTTAACCGGATCACAAATGTCAATTGACAATACATCAATCTGGATTGATTTATCGGGGAGAAACAAGGTATTTCTCGACCATTTATCTTTGGGAATATATACAATGAGATTGTTTATCTTTTGTATAGAGATGTCACAACTACTTACAATCATTTAATGTGAAATACAATAGCTTGGGTCTGTCATAAAGTTCAAAATTTTTTTTTTTTGAACTTTGAGCTTGGTCAATGAAATAAATGCAACTTTATATCTGATAGTCAAGATTTATTGTTATCACCTTACACCAAAGGTAAATGGCCTCATTATATAGTTTCTTTTTATCTTTTGTAAAAGGAGGTCAAATCGCTTCTGTCTCTTAAATTTCAAAATGGATGATTATAAGAGTGTCATTAAATATACACAAAACTCTTAAAAAAAAAAAAATCTCAAATTTCGTTACTCATTCTAAGTCATTCAATTTGATATCAAATGAGTGTTAATAATTGGACTTCTTTTTACATTATAAAAGATAAATGATATATATATTTGTATGTGTGGGCAGGGATATTATATGGTTACGAGAGAGAGAGAGAGAGAGAGATGGATGGTGTCCTGAAGAGAGAGCATTTAGTCCTTTAGTGTTATGGTTAATAGAGAGATAGAGGGGCAGTGTGTCCTGAAGAAATAGTATTTAGGCCCTGAATCTAACCTGGACACAGAGAGAGAGAGAGAGAGCACGTGGTGTGTCCTGAAGAGACAGAGGGAGAGCACTTGGTCTAGCTCCAAGTTGAAGGTGCCTAGTATAAATTTCCATATTTCTTGTGGGCTTTCTCACTCCACTAAAATGGCTCCATATTCTCTCTCTACGCGCGCTACCCTGAACCTCTCTCCTCACCCTCGCCCTATCTCTGGAATGACCCAAACCCATCAGCTTAACACCTGTTCTTGGCCTATGGGACTGGATATACAGATGCAGTTGCAGAAACTGAGAAAAAGGGTGAATAGAAGAGATAGAAAGCAAGGTGATTTGGGTTTTTCTAAGCTTTTGAGAAGTGGGTCTGTGAGGTCTCAGCCCGTTAGAGAGGCGCCAAAGAGGAGGCACTGGAAAGAGGGAGAATTCCCTGGAGTTTCAGAGGGTTCTTCGGTTTTGGGGTCACCCAGAACTGCAATAAAGAACATAAAGAAGAAATTGGATGATAAGAAGGATGCAAATGCTTGGGCCAATACTGTTACTGAGGAGCTCCATGAGCGTATGAGGAAGAAGCAGTGGGAGGAAGCTCTTGAGGTAACCCAGTATCTTTCTTGCTCTCTCATTCTCTCCATCTCTCTCTCTCTCTCTCTC